TGTGAATTTGAGAATTTAAATAATGAAATGATGTGAAACATAAATGCGATAAAATTTGCATAAAGTAAATTGTAATAATGTAAAAAGATTTTGTTTCACTGTTTATCTGTTACAGTATTATAAATCACTTAGAGTTTCAAACTGAATGTAATGAAATTGAATGGGAAAGTTAATATGAATAACTCAACAGGAATGAAACTAATCTGGATGTATCATCATGATTTATAACATTTCCTTATATCATAATGGGTATCCTCATTCATGGAATATATGCAGCGATTTTTGTGAAAAGTTAGAATCATATTTAATCTAATATTGTTCTTGAATGGAACAATGTACATTCTAATTTTTCAGTCTCTAATTTCGTTTCCAAAAATTTTATAATTTCCAAATGAACTTTTACACAAAATTTATATTTAAAGATATTCTGAAAAGAAAAAAAGACCTTTTTTTTGTTGAAATAATTAAAAGTTTAATAAATTTAAATCAGTTAAAATTAATAATAATACACTTACACTGGTTGATGGATAATTTCATTAGTTGTAGAAGTAAATGGAAGTGCATCAGTGATGGTATTACCGGTGCTACTACTATCAGTATATATCGTGCTTGTGATATTGCTTCCAGATACAATAGTGTGTAAATTTGTAAACATAGTGCTACTACTTGACCCCAGAAATGTGTTTGTGATTTCATTGATAGGTGAAATTTTCGTGCTTTCGTGCTTTTCTAAATTTTAATTAATTAACAAAAAGTAAAAAAAAAGTATTTAAATTTTGTGTTAAAGTTTTTTCATGCTAATAATGCATACATTATCAATTTTTAATGATATATGTTTGATTTGAATTTCTTCATAAAAAAAAAAAAAGAAAAAAAAGTAAAATAAAACAAGAGATAAAATTGGGAAAAAGAATGGGAAAAGTAACAAAAATAAATAGATGTAAAGTTAAAAAATAAGGAAAAGTTTGATTTGAATGATAAAAATATAATTTAAATTTAAAATTTTGAAATTCTTAAAATTTATTTTAGCTTGCTACTAATAATTGTAAAAAAAAAAATCACTAAGCATAATTTTTGGCATCTAAGAAAAATTCGAAATTTCCATAAACTTTTTTTTATAAAAAAAAAAAAAAGAAAATTGAAGAGAGCTTAAAATGACTGAAAAACATTTTGTTGTTTTTCTTTTTTTTTTTTCAATTCATAAATATTTACGTTCTATTTCATTCAATGCAATATCACTATAGGTATTTCCACTTTGTATTGTTGCCGCTGTTGTTAGTGTCAGTTTATCTAACATTTCCGTTTCCGGAAGTATTTCATTGTTTGTTGAAGTCGCAATCCGTATTGG